GCCGGGGGAGTGGGCGGTTGCTCTCTCAGATGATTGTTTTCCTTTTTTTATCTTCGGTTTGAAATCTGTCTCTGTCTGTGTCTGTGTCTGTGTCTTTCTTTCTCTCTGTCTCTTCATCTCTGTCTCTCTGTCTCTGTCTCTGTCTCTGTCTCTGTCTCTGTCGTGTCTTCTGTCTGTCTCTATCTGTCTGTCCTGGTCTGTCTCTGTCTCTGTCTCTCTCTCTCTCTCGTCTTTCTCTTCTCTCCTCTCTCTCTCTCTCTTCATCTCTCTCTCTCCTCTCTCTCTCTCTTCCTCCCTCTCTTCTCCTCTCTCTCCCTCCCTCTCCCTCTCCCTTCTCCCTCTTCCTCCCTCTCTTTCCTCCTCCTCCCTCTCTTCTCTCATTGTACCTTCCTCAATCCCCTTTTTTTAGAGACCCGGAGGACAAGGGATCTTTAATTTTCCTTCAGCAAAGAAATATTTTATGACAGTCATTTTGGGATTCGTGAGCATGATAGATTGGTTTTGTCTCTCGGTTCCTATATATATCCTTGTTCTTACCCTTTTAATCCTTGTTTTTATTTTTTTTTTGTTGTGTTGTGAATTAATTCTCGTTCTTCCTTTTCCACTTCTTTTTATTTTTTATTTTGTTTATTGTGGATTAATCCTCGTTTTTTTCCTTTTCACTCCTTGTTTTATTTTTGTTTTGTTGTATTGTGATTTAATGCTCGTTCTTTCTTTTTTAACTCCTTTTAACTTCTTGTTTTTATTTTTATTCTGTTGTATTGTGAATTATTATGGTGAGTGTGAATGATGTTGAATGTTGTGTAGTGGTATTAGGGTATTGTTTGTCGTTATCTATTTTTTTTTGTTTTGTTTATAGGTGTTTTTTTTTATATTATTTTTTGATATTTTTATCATTTTGTTGCCTTCATCCCCCTGTTTTTCGTTGTCTGTTTTTTTTTGGTCCTGCTTTTTACCTTCCGTGTTGTCTCCCTGTCGTCTCTTCCCCTATTCTGTCAGTCCGCTTATTTTCTCTTCCACTTTTTCTCTCGTCGTATTTGGTGTCTTTTGTCTTCTCCCTCTTCCCCTGTTCAAATATTCTTCCCTCCTGTCCCCTTCTGGTTCGTTAAGCGGATACTTACTCTTTCGTGGGTATGATTCTCTCTTTCCTTTTTTTTCTTTTATTGTTTCATTTTTTCTTTTTCTTGTTTTTCTCTTTGCTGTTTCCTCTTTTCTCTTTCTCTCTCTTCTCTCTTTTCTCTTTCTCCTCTTTCCTCTGTCTTTCTCTCTTTCCTCTTTTCTCTTTCCTCTTTCTTTCCTCTTTCTCTTATCTCTTTCTCTTTCTTCTCCTTTCTCTTTCTCTTTCTTTCTCTCTTTCTCTTTCCTCTTTCACCCACTCTTTCTCTTTCTCTTTCTCTTTCTCTCGATCTTTCTCTTTCCTCTTTCTCCCCTCTTTCCACCTCTTTCTTCTT